GACAGATTAACAAATGCTATCCCAGGGCAGGGGACTTCAGCACAAAAAGCCTACAGGAACAGCAGTGGGTTACAAGAACTTATTGTGATTAATATGCGTTCAGATTTTATCTTTCCCATTTTGTTGAGGAAATGGATGAAATGTCTAATATTGCACTTAGCTGCTTCTTTATGCAGTGCCCTCAAAGATAACACCTCAGTGAATACCATTTGCTTACCATCTCTCTCTCACACACACACATACAGATTCAAACCCACAACACACAATGAACAGTTAGTTCTACAGCTTGCCTTTCCTCCCACACGGCTTCTTTTCTTCTTCTTCTTCAAGATCCTGCAATCTCTGTGGCCCCTGCCTCTATGCCCCAAGCCTCCTTTTCTTCCCTAAGAATATTCCCCTTGCTTTGCAGAAGACTGGTTAGGCATGCCAACATTTAAAAACAACTCCCGTCACCAACGTCTACTTTAACTGAACCAAACCTTAGGAGGCTGCCTGTACAAAGCCTGCAGGCCCACACGGCAGAACCGGAGAACACAGCGGGGGCACGCTCCAAATTTCAGTAACAGCTGAGCAACAATCTTGTCTTTTTCTGTTAGGGGAATCATGGCGACAGAGCCTGCATTTGGAATAATGTTATTATTTTAATTACATAATTTGTTTAACAGACAAAACAGAAATTCAGAGAGGCTGGTTTGAAAATACTTTAAGCAGATATACATACATGCATAGATGTACAGTATGTATGTACACACACATTTTAAGTAATCAGGACACATACACACACACATACACTATATGTATATGTGTACATACACCCTATATATTTATATTTATTCATTTATTTGATTTATATCCCGCCCATCTGGTATATTATACCACTCTGGGCAGCTACAGTATATATACACACACACACGTATCCATATACATACGTACACATGTATGTAAATACACACACACACACACACACACACACACACACACGCGCGCACACACATATACGTACATACATGCGTGAATTTTGTCACGCCATGTGCACTGACGACGGAAGAAGTCAGTCCTATGGAAGTCAATGGGACTTACTTCTGAGTAAGTATCAGCAAGTCCAATTTTCGCTGCCTTCTTTCCTCCACAAGGCTTCGTCGAAGTGAGACGTCTTGCCAAACCCCCACCCCTTACAAAAATAAAAAGCTAGACCAGTTTCCCGCTTGCTGGTCAATTTTTTTCCCCAAAAAAAGTGGGGGAACCATTTCCCCAACGTACCGGGAAGTGTGTCGGTACCAATCATTTCCTCTTCCCACTTCCGGCGGGGAAACAAAAGGGAAGCGGACTCCCAGAAGCGAATACTGTACTCAGCAGCATCGACGGAGCCTAAAGGGGTTCAGGGTCTGCAGATTGCAACCCTTTACTTCCGGTTCCCGAAGGCAGTTCATGTAGAACGCTCTGAACTGGGGCTTCCTTTGGTGGCCACCTTTTAAATAACTGGCTTTTTGCTTTATTTCATAAACGTTGAGAAAGGGGTCTGATGGGGGAAGTCTGGGCCTGCTGGAATAGAAGGACAGCTTGAAAATGTAACTTTTGGGAACGCCAACCATTCCAAAATGACCCAATCAGCGTACTCTTGGGTTGCATTTAAAAATGTAATGGATATTTTAAATTTTAATACACTTTGAATAGCTGAAAGAAGACGCCAGGCTGTTTTTTTTAATGAATGCTGGAAGGAAGGCAAACACACAGGACTTACTGTTGTCTTTTTTTCTCCAAATTGTTCATTAGAAATGTTGTTAACCACCTTTGGGAAACACTGATCTTATAATGGTGCAACTGATGGGTTAAAAAATCTGCAAAGATGACTCAATAATTAGGCAAGTAAGGAAGACGGTCTCCAAAGGCTCGTTAAGAAAAGCAGGTCTGTCTTTAAATCAGGAAAAACCACGGAGCCCGGCATAATTGTAAACCTCCCAGAGAGTGCTTTAGCATCATAGGGAGGTATATAAGTCAAAACAACAAGCAAATGCAGTTAAGGATACAAAATAAAAACAAGAAAGTAGAATCTGTACCAGAATAGAAATCGCCCCATAGGATGCAACAAAAAGCTTTGGCTTGTTTTAGAAATTAGAAATGTTTGAAGTGCAAGTTTGTCACAGGAGGCTTAAAGGGTTTCCTGGAGCGAGAGGATGACCCAGAAAGAAGTCCTAAAGTAAATGCATGAAGGCCACATAAATAATAAGACCTATAAAACACAGAATGTTTCAGTCACGTAACGAGAAAAAGAAAAATCTAGATGAGTACCGCTGATCCAGGTGGGAGAAAAACATAGGCGTAATGGCCAGGATGCACACACACACACCCCTTTGTTTTTTATTGTTGCTTCACCCAAACTCATAACAGACCAGAGGATGACAATAAGAGTTAGTCTTAACAGCCCACTCAGGTGTTAAGATCCTTGGGGGAGGCCTTTCTTTTGATCCCGCCACCTTTACAGGTGCGCTTGGTGGGGATGCAGGAGAGGGCCTTCTCTGTGGCTGCTCCCAGACTTTGGAACTCCCTCCCACTGGAGGCCAGCTTGGCCCCATCTTTGCTGTCCTTCTGCAAGCAGGCAAAGGCCTTTCTCTGCAGGCAGGCTTTGCCTTAGTCACCTGTGTGTGGTTTTTCGATGAATTGTTACGCATCACGGCTTTGACTGGGGTTTTTTTTAGTGCTACTTGCGTTTTCCAGTTCTCAAGAGTGACATTTGTGTTCCCCCCCCTTTTTTAATATTCATATATTGTTCTTAGCTTTAACATTGCCTTTTTAAATGATGTAAGCCGTCACTTCTTTTAATGATGCCAACCACTGTTGTATACTGATTGTTTTCCCCTTTCAACATGGTCTCTCAATGTTGTAAGCCGCCTGGGGTCCTTTTTAAGGACAAAGGCGGGGTAAAAAAATTTATTTTTTTAAACTATTTATTGCCTAGAATAAACTTATTTTAAATATATTGTTTATTTCTTAAACTACAACATAAACATAAATACATAAACCAAAATACACATGGACTGTGTTCCCCACCACCATAGTCGGGACCTCTTGCAGTAATAAATTTTAACTGCCACCATTTTTTTGTCTTTTTCATTCATTCATTCAGAACAAGTAGGATAAGAGCTCATTTATTGAAAGGGACAGCTCAGTGGTTGAGGTTTCTGGCTGTGGTGCCAGAGGTTGGGAGGGGGGGTTTCGATTCCCCACCGGGGCCTCCATGAGAAGGGCTGGCCTCGATGATCCCCAGGGTCTCCCTTCCAGCCTGCCTTTCCAAAAAAAAAATCTCTTTTTTTTGAGATTGCAATCTCGGGAACCGGAAGCCATGTGTGCTCTCCTCCTCTTGCCTCTTTGGCGCGGTAGAGGCCTGACGAGCCGCCGCCAGAGGCAGTCGATCGATGAGCGCCCGGAAGGAGGGGAGGGGGGAGAGGAGGGGTTAGGGTTCGAAGGCTCGGCGCTCGGCTGGCCAGGCGGCGTCACTTCCGGCCGGGCGTCAGGGGGCCGCCGAGCGGGGGAGGCCGTTGCGCGGGGATGGCCGCCAACCAACCGCCGCCGCCGAAGCCCTGGGAGAACCGGCGACTGTGAGTTACCGCCAGGTCCTCCGCCGAGCCTCCAAGAAGGCCTTCCCTTCTCCAAGACGTCCCCGGGGGCTCCCACGGGGAGGGGGGGCGGAAGAGGGAGGAGAGAGAGCGCTCTCCACATGCCCAGGAGCCCCCTTGACAAGGCTGTGAAGTGGCCTCAGGGCGAGGGTTGGGTTGGTTTCTTTTTAATTGGGGGGCGTCGTCGTCCTTTAGGCCCTCCACCTTGGTCAAAGTAGGATAGGAGCCCATTTATTGAAAGGTTTTCCTTTAAAAAGGACCCAAGGCGGCTGATAAGCTTTTTTTTAAAAAACAACAATGTTTTATTGATTTACTTATTTTATTAGAGTTATACCCCATCCATCGAGAAAGTGGGTATAAGTTTGGAGGTTGAAAGATGGCAAATAGGCGAGTGTAGGGATTTGAGAAATGCTGTATCTGAAATGGCAATAGAAATCGATACGAAAAACAGATTTAAAAGTAACCGAAAGTGCAAAGTCTCCTGGTGTTAAAATCCATCTCAAAGCAGCCATATTTGCAAGAATAAAACCTGCCTGGAGAGAGAAAGGTCTTCTTCCACTGCTAGCGGAAAGACAACAAACACGGGGCCAGCCTGGCCTCCTGTGGGAGGGAGTTCCATAGTCTCTGGGAGCAGCCACAGAGAAGGCCTTCTCCCTGTGTAATTATTTATTTTATTTAAAATATTCTTTTTACCCCGCTTTTCTCCTTGAAAAGGGCCCAAGGCAGCTTACTGCAGTGATGGTATTTAATGTTAAAAGCAGTGAGTCTACAACAGTGGTTGACATCGTTAAAAGAC